CCATTTAATATATCTATGTTCCGAATCCCATCCTGTTTGGTTGAAAACCAAGGGAGTTATAGCTATTTTAAGTTTCAGCCAATCAGATTGTAGCGCACGTGCATGCACGTGTTTTCATGATAATTGCTTTATAACATGTTGTAGCATATCCTAATGCAGGGCTATATTCAAAATTTCAAAGGATTTCGTCAAAAAACAAGAAAGATATTGAGACTTTAGTTTCAGCCAATCAGAGCAAAGCGCACGTGCATGCGCGTGAGATCTTGGTATTTTGACCATGTCGTCTTGTCTATACTACTAATATATCCTTACATTATGAGTTTCAAAACATTTCATCAAAAAATAGAAAAGTTACGGCAGTATACATTATATTGGCCATTTAACGTGTTGCACCCGCGTGCTCTTGCAAGCACGTGCGCGCAAAATGACCTTCGTTGGGCAACTCTACATAACATACCTACTGACCCTAAAAAGGTTTCACCTAAGTCGGATGTATAGTTTACAAGATCACTCGCGGACAAAATTTTCCCAGGAAGAAAAATAATAATAATAATAAGAAACAGAGTAAAAACAATATGTTCCCCAACTTCGTTTGGGGAACATAATAAGAAACAGAGTAAAAACAATATGTTCCCCAACTTCGTTTGGGGAACATAACTAGATGCGTTCTTGTTGCTAGGGCAACAAGCAGGTCTTCCGCCCGACTTTTCGTTAGAAATCTCTGCTCCGTCAGGCCATGAAATAGATTTCAGAATGTATTTTTATCGTTACTTTCATTGACAGCAGTCTCTCAACATAGATCGTGATTATTAGTTATTCCACAAAATATCTCAAAATATAGCTTTTAAAAATCGACAAAATCTACCATACATTATAAAAAAGAAAGAAAAGACATATGCAACTGAAAAAAGACAGAAACAAAGAAAAAAAAATTTGCAACGCCCCCAGCGGGATTCGAACCCCCGACAGTGAGACAAAGTTTGGATTGGTCATATCTTTGCAATAAATGCACGCATGAAAATGTTGAAAACATATTTAGAGTTCTTAAAAGATACTCTATCAACCCTGTGATTTCCAAAGAAAAATAGTGGAAAACAAAAAAGTTGAAAAATTAGACTTTTAGAATTCACTTCCGTTTGCGACCGGAAGTCAAAACGACGAAAAATGAAGGTCGATCAGCACATCTACATTCGATTTTCTATCATGTCCGTAAGTTTCAGTTTTATATCTGTTACTGTTCTCGAGAATTTTTTGCGACAAAATTCCATTTAAAAAAATACAAATTTCCCCAAAAAACGCGAACGGAAGTAAATTTCGAAAATGTGAGGGACACCCCTGGAGATATTAACATGATGCACCATCCCTGAAAAAATCGTTCAAATTGAACCACGCACAGCGGAGATATGACCTGTACTACGAAAAGTGGAATAATAATAATAATAATAATAGAAAACAGAAGGAAAACAATAAGGTCTTCCGAAGGAAGTCGGAAGACCTTAATAAGAAACAGAGTAAAAACAATATGTTCCCCAACTTCATTTGGGGAACATAATAAGAAACCGAGTAAAAACAATATGTTCCCAAACTTCGTTTGGGGAACATAATAATAAGAATAATAATAATAAGAAACAGAGTAAAAACAATATGTTCCCCAACTTCGTTTGGGGAACATAATTAGTAACTGTTACAGTTTTTGCAAAAACCTATGACATCGTAGGAGGATGGAAATACCTTAAGCCCTTCACAAAATATACTTTATTCAAGTGATTCGTGTACTCATTTTGGATTTAAAATCTATTAAATTAGTGTGTTAGACGTAAATGTGGCATCCTTAAAAACAGAAACTATATAAATGTTTCCATTTTATACCTCAATTTACTTTTATTCTATATTGTCTATTTTAACAGGAGCGAAGAGAATGGGACTACAGAGGAAAGTCAACTCTCTGCAGATTTGCCAGTCACCTTTAAAGTTCTGGAGAAGGGCAGTAAACGAGGAGGAAGATTGTTAGTATCCAGTGATGGCTACTCATACACTGTCAAGGTACTAGTATATTATAGTGATACACCAGATAAATAATCACCGACATACATTATCTTGCCGACTTGGGAAAATTTATATTTGTTAAGATTCCAATGATCGATTCGCATGTTAATTAAAATAAGTGTTAAGGTTATATGTAAGAAGAAACCACTTTTTTAAAAAGTCTTTCTTTAAGTTTTTGAAAAAGGGAGATAACTCTTGAATAATATTTTAATGGCATCGCAATTTTTAACACAATAAAATTGATGATGTGTTTACTGTTTAAATTTAAAATTAACTTCAATTATTTTAAAATAATTATTTGTATAGAAATCCCTGTATCATGAGTAATTTCTTCACATTTACAAGATGCCTCTCAAAGCCCTCAAATAGCAATAATTCATCTTTGTAAATTTTATTGTTGAAAAATGATTGCATACAAGAATGATAGAAGAATTTTTCTTTGTAGAGGGAGAGCCAAAGATCTACTTTATGGAGATGTAGCAAGCGGTCAGCCAATTTCACGTGCCACGCTTCCATCACCCAGAGAGGGGGTCATTTTACGCCAGGAGTTCGCCACCACCTTCACCTGCCCGACCCCCACCCCAACCTCAGGGAGATATCTGCCAGGGTGAAGGAGGCCATAAAGGACTGCACCACGGAGTCAGCCATGACGATTGTGAAGGAGACTGTTGAAGCACACTGTGAGTCTGATCAGAGATTCCTTTCGTCGGACCTGGAGAACGTGAGAAGAGCGGCCAATCGTTACAGAAGGAAAATCAAGATGGGGGAGAATCCAGCACTTCGGGTAAATTAAAATAAAACAGTAATCTTTAAAAGATGCATTTTAAAATCAATATCCTGCAATACATTTGAAATTTAAAGCAAAATTATTTATCATCTTTTTTATAATAAATCTTCTTTAAATTATTTAGGAGGTTTTAATACATAGAACTTCAGTGCATTAATTCATCCATTAGATACACATGTGCCAATCGACCATAAAAAGCAAAAAATCCTTAATTTCTCATTTTTATATTCAAGATTCATTTTTATTTGCAGCAGGCTGAGAACCTATCCAGGCCTTTCCCAGTGTTATCAGAGGCCACCCACAACAGAGAGGTTAACAGTGACCATGTCATGCTCGACGATTCCTTTGACGTCAGAGACGAAATCCAGAGGAGCGTTCCTGTATTCCATGGAGAAAGGTACGAGAAGTCAGTTTACGGAAAAAAATAGAATTAAAATTCCTATAATGCCAAAGCTGAAATTTATAAATTCGAAATTATTATAACAGATCACAACCAGGATACTCGCACTTAATTCTGGAATAGATAACATGAGCGGATCGAGATTATCGAAGAAATTTGATTCGGAATATATATATACAAGTAAAATTTAAAACTTCTGAAATCCCCAAAAAGGAGTGGAGGATAAGGGTGGGTGTAAGTCATTTTTCAAAAGAATTACTTTTCCATCGCTGCATTTACTGGTTGGTGAAGGGGGAGAGGGTATCAAATACCATTTTATTATTCATTATTTAATTTCATTATTTAATGTTTTCTTTAGGTGTAAGGAAGACGACACCCCTCCACAGGAAGCTGTTTTGGAGGATCCCCCTGTGACCTTCAGAGTCTTAGAGAAGGGCAGTAAGAGAGGTGGGCGTCTCTTGGTTTCCTCGGATGGCTACGCCTACACATTCAAGGTACACATTATTATGACCGAAACTTCATCTGTGAATACAATATCAAGATGTAGTATCTGGGGCAGATATGATATTGAAAATAAACATACTAGTATATTCTGGCCAAAAAGTTTCAAACTGAAAACATATAATTATAAACGATTTAAGGTATTCAATGTATAACGACCATAATTTATACCTAATAAATGAATTGTCCAATATTTTTAATCATGGTAGTATTTTGAATGTTTCCAAATAATTATTTGCATTGAATACCTTAAAACAGCTAACAATTTGTTACTTTCTCCTTCATAGATCTTCACTCAGTCTATGCTTCAGTGAATTTATGACAATATAATGAAAGAAATCTTTATTACAGAGAGACAACACTAGAACTACTACATGGAGATGCAGTAAGAGGTCAGCTTCCTTGACCTGTCATGCCTCCATCATCCAGCGGGGGGGATTCGTTTAAACCAGGCAGAAACCACCACCTTCACCTGCCCGACCCCCACCTGCCCCACCTCAGGGAGATATCTGCCAGGGTGAAGGAGGCCATTAAGGACCGCACCACGGAGTCCGCCATGACGATTGTGAAAGAGACTGTTCTAGCACACTGCAAATCTGACCAGATGTTCCTCACATCGGAACTTCAGAATGTGAAAAGAGCGGCCAATCGTTACAGAAGACAGTTCAACCTGGGTCAGAGTTCTCCTGCGGATGCTGCATAAATAAAACACCATGGGATGTGTAATTCAGGAGGGAAACCCTCATACCTTCACAAACATTTCATCTTGGACTTGAATATAAATTGTGAATGATTTTCTGCATCATTTGTTTCCATATGTTTCAAATGAACTTTCCTAAAATCCAGTTAAAAGTAATATATGTATTGTTCCTGTATTTGACTATGTATATGATAGCAAGATAATTGTAATGCTTGTTTTACGAATTTTTTAATATTATGATATTTTACAAAAATAAATAATGAATCATGGCACTTGTTTTTTCCTTAAATTATATTTAATGCTGGGTTGATCAATGCATTACATATAAATGTACAGAAATTATAGAATTCAACAGCTGTATCTAATGAATACTGTAGATATTTAATGAAGTGACATTTTTGCGGATAATTTTTGGGTCTTCATACACAAGATGAATAAGAATCATGACTATAATTGCTGTAAATACAATGCATAAAGACTTTGTGCATAATGAAATTTTTGCAAGCAGACATTCTTGCAAATTTTGCAAAATAAAAAATATTTTTAAATTTTTTTTTACAGAATGGACATAAGAAAGATTTATCACAGATAACAACCTTCAAGAGAATATAAGTACTTATACATATCAAAAAGATGAATTCTTTTAAAATGAAAACTTTAAAAGTTGCACGAGATACAGAGATTTCAATCCAAAGCACTGTTAATAAGAAAACAAACACGTGCTTAGCAATGCTACATTGTATAGGGAATGCTACTCCAATGCACATTTCAAATCTAATCATGAAACTGGATGCTTCCTAATTTCATTAAATTCCTCGTTGTTCTCATTCTTCGGTAATTATTAAACCCTGATACACTTGTGCTTCACAAGTTATTAATTCTAACTTTCATACCTTGTCACTAGATCACTTTTTAACAAACCATATTTCATTGGTTCTACCAAACAGTTGAAATGGGCTATTATAACCAGCCGTGAACCAATAATCCTGACGAATCTCACTCGTCTTCTCTTTCAAGTCCTCTGACAATTTCTGAGCTTCGTTTATCCATGAATCCTCCTTAGCAAATCCTCCAAATGATTTTACGTAGGCTTCAAATTCAGGTCTCTCCTCAATGAATACATTTGGGTTTTTTGGCTGAGGGGGGTTTTCTTGGTGTTCGGGTGGGATGAAAAAAGACACAGTAAAAGTGCTCTCACAGTTGGGACCTGCACCTGGTTCTACTTTGGTTGAAACTGGTGCTGTCATATCAATCTTCATTTCTGTTGGAGAGATTGTTCAATTGATTATAGATAAATATAAGCTAAAATTATAACATTTAATGAAAACTTTTAAAGAAAGCAGCTGTACATTTTATTTATAATTTAATTCTACCTTACATCCTCACACTCAATGATTTTTTTTTTATTTCTACATAAGTAAAACTATATACTATTTCTAGTAACTTCATTTCTTTTTTCATTTTCTTGTATTGTCAAAGATTTATGGATACATTGTCAATTGAACCCCTCCCCCAATGTGCATATATTTAGTCCTGCAAAGTATATTTAAGCACTGATTTTGAAAGATTCAAAACATACGTATTACTTAGTAAATCATAGAAAATTTATATATTAGTCATACAATAAATGTTAGTTTCATGCATTCTATATATAAGTGTAAAAATATCTAAAAGTAATACATGTAACAGAATATATTTTAACAAGAGGCCCAGGGGCCACAGCGCTCACCTGAGCACATCAGCCAGGAAAAAAAAACCCACATCAGATCAGAACTGTAAGTTAACTTAAGTGGGGGGGGGAGCTTGAATTTTAATCCCGAAGGGGATCATAATTTGAACGAACTAGAATCTACATTACCTGAGGATGATTCCATATAAATATTACTAATCATGGCTTTGAAGTGCTTGAAAAGAAGATTTTAAAAAGTTTCCCTTTATATTTCTATGTAAAACTTTGGTCGGCCATTTTGGCCCCGCCCTACCCTCGGGGGTCATGACTTGAACAAACTTGAATCTACATTACCTGAGGATGATTCCACATGAGTTTCATCTTTCCTGGCCCAGTGGTTCTTGAGAAGAAGATTTTTAAAGATTTTTCCTATATATTCCTATGTAAAACTTTGATCGGCCATTTTGGCCTCGCCCTACCACCCAGGGTCATGACTTGAACAAATT